AATGAAACCATTTTGCCTTTTGTTGCTTTTACCACAACAGAGCTCCCTGGAATACCAAATGCCTCTCCCAGTCTTTCAGGAGGCTGTGCAGTTCCCTGGACCTAAAGACACTATAGCCCAAATACTAAGTTTAGAAACTGCAGCAGATGGCATTCACATGTTTCTAAGGTTGGGATTGCATCTTCCTCACAGAAGAGGACACAATGCAACCCAAGGGGCTGAAGAAGGCAAGCAGACTGTTTGTCCAAGCTCTAGAGAATCCTCCAGATCTTTGATCTTGGAGCCACCTACTCATGGGAAGAAAAGGCCACGATGCAAGTGAACTGAGAAGTTTGCAAGATGACTGACTAATCCCTGTGCTTCACAGACTGTGGTCTCATCCTGCTGGTAGCTCCACAGCAGGCAGGATGCAGGCAGGATGCAGGCAGCAGGGCTCCTTCACAAGGACATCTGGAAACAAGGGAGGCCACAGCCAGCCATGTAGATTGAAGGGTCCCTTCCCTCAGGGACTCTGTCTATCAACTCTGGCTGCCTACCACAGGCAGAAAGATCTGACCAATGTTGCTGAAACCTTTAAGTTACAACTCTTTCTGAAAATAACAGGTTGCCTCAAAGGTTCTGAAATAATTTAAGCAAACCTGTGGGTGTGGGGAGCAGAGCTGCCACTGGCTGCTCAGGATGACAGCATTCTCTTTCTGCTACTCAGATGCAGGATGAGTCAGTGGTTGAGCCCACATGTCTGGGACGCTCCTTAATCATCTCCAAAGGCTCTTTGGGATGAAGCAGCTCGGGCGTCACTTCTGTCAGCAGCCAAAAGGGCTTAGAAACTGCCCAGAGCTGTTGTCACCCATCCTAAGTATTTCAAAACAAGACTCTCAGGGAAAAGTCAGCCTCTTGGCTTTAAAATACTAGGCTTCCTTCCAGGATGGAAGAGACCTGTTCCACTGGAACAGGCACAGCCCTCTTCTGCACAAGGGTCATCTCAGAGGGCAATATATAAACCCATGTCTTTTACATTCTTGCTTTTGGACTAAATCTTCCAAAGATGCCTTCACAGTGTGGCTGTCACCAGAACTGCTCCACCAGGAATAAACCCACCACATTTAATGGCTGTAGATCTAATGTCTCTTTTGGCAAGTACCAGTGTTACAAGCTGTATAACTATGCCTGTACTTCAAGATTTCACCAATATACTAAAACATTAATAATAATAATAATAAATACAAAACTAAGAAAGCCTTTTTTTCTCCTATAAACTGTCACCAGAAAAACATTCCACATTGATTCTAGTCCTCCAGAACCCACCACCTGGCTGAGACATGGCTCATGTCCATGCACAGTATGAAGTTTAAACAAGCAGACATGTGCACAGAGCTTTGCAGACACAGAGTCCAACCAAGTAGTTTTAAAGAGCATTCTGAAAAACATCCTAAGTACTCTTCTTTTAAGTGGGAAGGGGGAGCAGGAATAAGGAGAATTAAATAACTACACTTCCTTAGCATAGGGTAGATGGAGATTTCCACAGTTGTATAACAAAATTACTCAGACAGAAATAGCAAGTGTCTGTTAATACACTTGGCTAAAGCATTTTTAATTTCTGCTTATTCCCAAACCTCCCAAGTATCCCTCACAAGTTACATAACCTTCTGTTAGCCTGTGGTTCTGCCCTCCCCGTGCAGGTGGCTTCCAAATTTATTTCAAAACCCTCTCAGCACAACTCCTCTTTCAAGCACAAACATGCAGCCCAATGTCACCCAGGCACGGCGCAGCCCTGCCACCTCCGACAGGTGAGGGAACCTTCCAGCCACTCTACCTTCTGATGACTTGTGACTTCGTCCCTGCTCCTGCCCAGCTCCTCAGCAAGTTTCAGGTTCTCCTCTTGCAGAGCTGCAAGCTGCTGGGACTTGTGAGCTGCTGCCAGCTTCAGTGCTTCGCTGGGAGGACAGAGAGCATCGTTACCATAGGAACCAGAGAGGCAAGGAAAGGCTGTGGGAGAGATTCAGCTTCACAGCTTGGAAAAATACATCTAGGTCACGTGTTGGGTGTAGAATAAAGGTGACCAGCTATACCTCAGGGGTGGCTTTAACCCTGAAGAGCAGCAGCAGCAGAAAACTCCTTTTCCTTTCAATGTGTCAGGTCCTCCCAGAACTGGAAGGTGAGCTCAGCCAGGCAGGTCCGTGCGCTGCCGGCGCGCTCGGGTGCAGGAACACAGGGCAGGGCTTGATGCCAGTGTTGGTGGGGTCAAATTTGTAGCCAGAGTTAAAACATCAGCATTAAAAAACAACCAAAAAATTGACAAAAAAATAAAAAGGGTAAAAGAAAAAAACACTTTACAGTTGCACTCATTTAAATACTCCTCACAAGGTCTGACATCCAAACATGTAAGAATGTGCAAGATCACAGGAGGCAAAACAGGGAAGTGTCTCATCTGTTCCATTATTGAACAGATACAAAACTGAAAATGAGACAAAACAAAAGATGAAGAAAAAAAAAAAAGGATTTGCAGGTTTCATCAGCCCGTGTTGCTGCTAAGCTGTGTGGTTTCCCTAAAGTAAGTTTATTTTCATCAAATTTTTTTTGAAATTATTTTGCATGGCTGTCTGTAACACAAGTGACTAATTGAAGTTTTTATAAGATTTGGCACCTTTCAAAAAATAAAAAAGATACACTTCATTTCAATAAGCAATAATTTTTATGTCTCTATTTTGTTCTCATAAGAAGGAGTCCCAGTACTCCTGTGTGCCAATATTACTCAGAGTTAAAGCCTGACTGGAATATTAAAAATACTTCTATGGCCGTGGGAGCTAGAAGAACACCTAAGTCAGAAACTTACTCAAGCACTTCAAAATACAAGGACTCTGTGGTCTATTATTTGGCATATTTAAGGCACAAAAGGAAGTCTGATTTACTTGGAGCTCAGCATGTAATATGACCAAGATTTTCCAGCCTTTTCTTCTATCTGGTCTCACCTGGAATGATTTCCAATCTGATCCACCTAGACTGGATTAAACAGGCTGACTCCCATCCCTGAACATTGTTTAAATTTCTTGGTATAATCTACTTGCTGATGCAGGAACAACCCTATTTTTAACGCCCACTGAACTGCAGCACCAACCAGTTCTCCTCTTTCTGCTTGCTCATGAAAGCAGAGTCTGGGCACACAAAATACTGGGGGTGAAATGCTCCCTGGTGCTGAGTGCCAAGGAACTTTAAGCTGCCAGTGTCCAGTGCTAACTTCCAGTATTTCTGCTTCCCTTCCTCCTGGCTTTACAGAAGGCTCTTGCACAAAGGACAGTGGTGGCCTCTGAAGGCCCAGCTGGAGAGGCAGCAGCAGGTCCTACCTACAGTCACAGCTCCTGGGGGCAACAATTCCCCTCTGCTCTCCTCACAACACAAGGGACCACCTTTAACTGCCCTCTCAAAGGTCTTCTCTCTGCCCACATTACTGCTGATCAAGAAGTAGCTATAATCAAGCTAATTCCTTATTCTAATTAAAACAAGGCAATGCACACAACAATTCTAACAAGAACAAATTAAAGAATAACCAGACAATCTTCCACTTATCCCCAGTGTCTCTCAGCACTTATGATTAGAGGCCACATTCAGAAATAGTCTGTGACAAAGATTAACCTTAAGAGAAAAAAAATAATTAAAAAAACCCCAGAGTGGTCAGGATCACAAGAACACCTTTCAGTGCTAAAGGCTGTCAAGGAAGTATCTTCCGTAAATAACTTCTGCTTGACAAATTGCAGTCTAATACACATTGTCTTTCCATAACACCAGAGTCTGCTCGCCCTGGCTGCTCCACCAAGTAGAACAATTAGTCTGGAAATAATTATTTTGCTCTGGCATTTCCCATGAGCACTGGGGCAGGTAGAACTGCTCATGGAATGAAATCCTGTATGTCTCAAAGGAGGCTACTCTCTCTGCAGGTGTCAAAAGCAAGCAGTGAAAACTGTCAAACAAACAGAAGATGGGTGTTAATTCTTTGGGCTGATTTCCTGTGTGCCCCAACTTCACCTCAGAGCAACAGTGAAGAACTGTCACAAAATGACTCGTGGAACTAATTAGTCAAAGCTGCCCTTAGCTCTCACTCAAGGAGTCAAGAGACTCAGAGAGCAGATGGGAACAGAGATCTGTGACTTACTGCACTGTATCTCTGACAGTTGGGGGACATGCAGCTACTGCAGGGGAGCATTAACTAGGATATTTATTCATGGTGAAACACAAAAAGCTTTGATACAAGAGATTCCTCAGGGCAGATTACTTTGTATCAGATGCTTTGCAGTTCATTTGCTTGGGTACAATGTTACACATCATTAGTTTGTAGTACTTAAGAGGTAGTTTCTCAAATGAAACATTTCAAATAATAAGCAATTAACTGTAATTTTACATACTACACATGGCTTTTGTCTTGTACCAGATAGATCATAAGTGCAACAACAAGAAACCAGATGAAGTCATCAATGAAAAATAAAAGCAGAAGCAGATTTTCTGCAAGCAAACCACTTAAAACTACTTAACACTCCCAAGTGTACTTGTCATTAAGTCCAAACATAATTTCTTTATTATAAAGCTTTTAAAATAACCTAGTGCCCTCAGGTGGCAGAACTCTGCACTTCCTCCAACAAACAAATTATTTATTTCAAGACATGCTTAGAATGAAGGAGTTGCTTCAATACCCTTCAGCAACTCAGGAGTAACATCATGATTGCACATTTTATGCCTGTCTAACTAATAGTTAATTTTGACCTAACACCTGCTTCATAAGTGAGGATATTGCAGAGATACTAAAAGACAATTATTTCAAAAAAATCTAAGCTAAATATAACTACAAATTAATGGTTTAACAGATTTAACAATGAAATACTTACAATTCTTTTTTAAGTTCTTCCACTTTCTTGTTCTCCAGATTTAGAAGCTCTTTTGATTTATTAAGTTCCTCTTCATTTTTCAGGTTGTTTTGTTTAAGCATGTCCAACTTAAAGAGTGAGAAAACACCTCATTATACTCATGAAACCACACAGTTTTTAGGTGTAGCACCAGAAAATATATTCAGCAAAATGGGGGTCTGAGCTGAGCTGTTTCACCTTTTCATCTCTAGCCCTTAAATTAATTCAGTTAGTTTGTACCGAGAAGGATTTGTTTAATAAAAAATGTTATGAAACTTTGTGCAATCCAGTCAAGCAGCACAAAGAACCAAAGTCCATCGAAGAGCAGCTTTCAGTAATCTGATGAGTCCCCCTGCTGCAAACCACAAAGCTCCAAAGCACCTCCATTTCGCATGCTACACAACTACAGGCACCTTTTTAAAAATTCTATGCTTGTTGCTAAAATTAGGTGAATAACTAATATAACTGATAAGAAGTTCTGCTCTACCTTACCCTATACTCTGAGCAGCAGTTGGCTGAACGTTGTGCTTGCAGCCATAAGCAAGTAATTCCTTTCAGAAACCTTGTAGGACGGGACAAATTGTTGTCTGTCTTACTGAGCCTGCATCTACCACAGAAACACCACAAGCCCGTGAGCCCTACTTATTCACATTCAGCAACACACTACATTACATAAGGGATAATCTTCAGCCATTCTTGTGGCATTACAGGACCTTGTGGATTTATTTTTTTTAATCCAGAAAGTGAAACCCCTGCCACTGTGAACGTCACCACTTCTAATTCTCAAGTCATCAGATCTCGTTGGAAATCATAACTGCTTGAGCACAAGCTGGGGCTGTTGGGTTAGCCCAGCTGGTCCCTACCCTTAGAGGAGCTGCAGGAGATGAAAGAGCCATCAAAGAGAAGCTACAGGGTGCTCAGGGTCTGCAGAAAAGCTGCCAGTTCGATGTTAGACTAGATACTCTGGGGTGAAAGAGTGAGAAGGATCAAGCGAGGACATTTTCTCTCCTTCATACCCTGAAGTATCACAAAGTGGTGGGAAGGCAAAGACTGAGGAACAGGACCCTGGAGGATCTGCTGCCTGCATGGGACAGGAAAGCTCTCTGGCACTGCTGTGCTCATGTATTTGTGTCCAGTTTGGCAGAATTTATGCCTTGTCACACCATAATTCTGATTAACAGAAAGGTGGAAAAAAGAAGAAATGCTACACATGTCAAGATCACAGAGGCTGTACAGAGCAAGTAGTACACAGGTAAGAACTGGAGTGACCACTCTGGTGGGTCAGGAGTCCTGCTACTCAGAGCTCTGCAGTGTGGAGTTGTTACTCCATGGTTACCACCAGGGGACTGAGAACAGAGTGGTCACATCTAAGCCACTGATGCAGCCAGATGATAAAGCCTCAGGTCAAACCCATGTCTCTTGATTCTGGGACCTGCAAAAGCTACTGACTGCAGCATCCACAGCTCCTTTACAGAAGATATTTTTGTTGCTGCCCCAAGACTCAAGGGACAAAGCCTGATATGCTGTAGAGGTATTTGAAACCACATGCAAAGTACAAAAGAACATAATTCATACGGCTTTGTAAAGGACTCAGATTTTCCACCAATGTGCACTCATCTAGTAAGTTTTCACAAGACTGAGTATTGTGGTGAGAAAATGACAGAATCCCCTCTTGCCTCAGCTAATTCTCTGTAATTCAACAGTTGTTCCTTACAAACTAGGCACAGCTTTTCATGTCAAAGCATTTAAATGTGATTACTTCATTCTGTAGCTTCTCGTTTGTTTGTCTAGAATTCTCCAAAGAGGCCAAAGTTTCGATTTTTTCTTTGTGAATGGCATCCTTCTCTTTGGTCACCTTCTCCACAGTCTGGAAAACATCTTCTGCCACTTTGGCAGCCTAAGTATAAAGGGAAATCGGGGAGGAAAAAAAAAAGTATTACCAAATAGAGCACTGAAAGCCAAAGATTAACAACATCACTTTATGCACAGTTCCACTGGTTGCCAACTGTTTTCCAATTAAACAAGGACTTCAGCTGGGAATTTATTTGCATTTGGAAGCTGCATAAAGTCTCAAAATAAATGGACATGGGAAGATTCAATTCCATGCAGAACTAAGATCATAACCCCATGCTTGTGTTGACACAGAGGAAGCCCCATTTCTTCTTTTTTAATTCCTGGATTCCCAGTTACCACCACTGTGATTGCTCTTAAGACTTCTAGCCACCCTAGACAGTAGTAGTTCAGTAGATATTCACTTCCAACAGACTGCTCTATTTTCAGAAAATGGGGTTACAAAAAGCTGCTGAAAATTTGAAAAATAATTAGAAATTAAATAGGAGATAAAGCCAATTATTACATTATTTCAGTGTTGTCCATTATGCCCTCAGAAAGTGAAATACTTCACAAGAACATGAAAACACTTTGGTAGGAATAATACATTCCTATAGGATACCCTGATTCCAATTTGCATTCAAAGTGGTTTTATGGGATTAAAGCCCCACAAACTGAAATTCAAAATACTTTACAGAATTTGTTGGTGGTGAATACAGAACAATTCTGTGAATAAAAAGAACACGAGAGATGCCAAAATGTTTAACAGACTGGAAGCTCTGTAATGAAAATCTAAGTGATTCATTTGCACTGTTTGTTATCCAATTACATTTACAGGAGCAGTACCTTGTTTTATGTTTTTTGAGCGACTCAAATTTGTAGTTTGTTGTAATTTAACACAAAATTGCACAAAGAGCTAATCTGAAACCGTCTCTATTACTACTCTGGTTTTCAAGCTGCAGAAAATTTCAACAGAAGGAGTTAATCAACTTCTTCCAGATTCAGGAAACAAAACTTCCTTTTATTCACAGTTTATTTTTTTTTCTTGCAACATTCAGCAGCAGGATAAGCTTTTATATTTAGAAATATTTTTAAAAAAATAATTAAAGTGTCTTTCAGACTCCCAGTTACAACCAAAATAATATATTGTGCAATGAAGTGCAGAGGACACCCCTGGGTTAGTGCTCAGTATTAGTATAACAATACTGGATTGTTTAACTCTGTGTTTCAATACCTCAATTTTTTGGGCTACTGTTTGGGCCTGGAGAGTCTCAATTTCTTTTAGTTTCAAAGCCAGATTGTTCATCTCCTCCTGCAGCATCTGATTTTTGCCCTGAGACACCAGCAGTTTGCCTGAGAGGTCACTATTAGTTTGTTCTAAAAGTGCTACTTTCTCAGTCAGTTTATCATAATCCTTGGAGAATTTCTCCTTCTCCTGCAGTATTTCCTCCTTGATGATGACCAGACTCTTCTGCTTAGCAAGCAGGCTGTCATTTTCCTGAAGTAGCTTTATTCTCTCTTTCTCTGTCACCTCATACCTGTGCTGAAGATCATTCAGTCTCTTGGAGACAGAGTTATGCAAGTCCTGGAGCTCTGCTTTTGATGTGGACAAGGAAGCAAAGTCACTCTTCAGTTGTTCAATACTGGAAGCAAGCTGCTCCTTCTCTGCACAGAGGGTTTCTTTTTCTTTAATGATTTCCACCAGTTTAGATTCAGATTTTTCTTTCTCCTGAACTAAAAGTTCTTTCTCAGTCAGAAATTCTTTCTTTTTCTCTCTCAGCTCTTCTGTCTCCTTCTCCAAGAAGCTGATGTTGCTTTGAAGTTCCATATGTTCCAACAAAAACGATTCCTTGTCCAGTTTTCTAGCTTCCTTTTCTCTGCTTAGGTTTTCTTTCATAATCTCAACCTCTCCATTTAGTTTCTGACACTTAACTTGCAGTTCAGTCCTCTCTCTGGTCAGTGTTTCTCTGTCAGAGGAACAGGTCTCGAGTGAAGATGACAGGACCTGGTTGGCATGTGACACGGCAGCCAGTTCATTTTCTAGTGTTATTTTGGCATCCTGGGCCTCTTTCAGAAGGTCTGAAAGGTCACATTTACAGGCTTTTAGCTCTTGATTTTCTTGAGTCTTCTTACTTAGCTCTTCCTTGAGGGCTTCAATGGAATCTTGGAGCATGGTATTCTCTTGGGCCAGAGCTCTCTTGGCCGAGACATCCAGCTCATGTTCTCTCTTCATATCAGAAATGGCATTTGCAGAAGACTTGTTTTCATCAAGAAGCTCTGAGCATTTTTTCTCCAATTCACTCTTCTCTTGAAGAAGAGCTTCATTGTGCTTTTCAAATTGCAACAACTTCTGAAAAACTGATTCCTTTTCTAAGCTCAGCTCATTTATTTTCTCAGTAAAGGCTTTCTCAGCAAGTGTGGCATCTGCAGTGGCACGAGCAAGCCTGTCAGCAACTGCCCTGTTCTCAGTCAGCAGTTCCTCCCTTTCAGCCAGAAGCCTTTGTTCTGATGAAGAAAGAGCCTCCTTCTCTTGCAGTAACCGCACACACTCGGAATCGGATCTGACTCTTGAGGCTTTCATTTCCTCAAGATCATGAGAGAGACCAGCAAGGGAATCCTTCAGCTCTGCATTGTCTTCCATGGCTTTTTTAAGTCCCTTCTGTTTGGTCTCGAGGTCTGTTTCCATCTCTTCCATCCTCACTTTCAGTGCTTGGTTTTCACTAACCCTGTTGTCCAAACTCACATGCAGCTCTTCTATGCTTTTGAGGAGCATCTCCTTCTCAGCCTGCAGACTTTGTCTTGTCTGGAGCAGATTGTCCATTTCATTTTTTAAGGCTAAATGTGCATTTTCAAGGTACAGGTGTTTTTCTAGGGCTGAATCTCTCTCTGCAGTAAGAGTTGACACTTTTTGCAGTAGCTCACTTTGATCTCTGGCCAGGGCCTCGCAAGAACTTTCCAGCTTCTGAATAACATCATCTTTGTTCTTAACAACTGCACATTTCTCTTCCAGAAGTTTCTTCTGATAATTCTCCAGTTCTTCGCGTTCCTTCATGTGTTTCTGACATGCCACATCCATGGCATCTCTGTTGGCCTGAAGTTCTTTCAGCTGTTGGAGCAAGGTTGACTCTGAAGACTGGAGTGCATCATTTTCTTGAGTCACCCTCAGAAGGTCTGCCTGAGCTGCCTCTATTTCAGAGAGTAATTTGCTTTGCTCAGAAATCAGTGCTACCTTTTCTCTGCTTTCCTGCTGGCTTTTGGCCTCAGCTTCTTCCTTCTGCTTTAGGATTCTTTTGTTTTCTGATTTAAGTTCTTCATTTACTGTCCAGAGTTGTTCTTGGTGTTGTTGCATTAACGAAATCTTTGATTCCAGTTCTACAAGTTTGGATAACAAGGAATCTCTCTCTAATTTTAAAGTATTCCCTTCCTGTGCCAGAGTCTCTTTTTCTGATATCAAACCCCTCATCTTGTCTGACATTAGTTCAATCTCTGTTCTGGCTGATGCTAACACAGAGCTTAAGGACTAAAGAAATAAAGTCAGGGAAAAGGGAAAATAAACATGAAATCAAGCAGACAAATGAGAAATGTGGTTTAAGGCCAACCAGAGCTATTGTCATTTCAGTTTTAAAAACGTGTATACGCTGACACACAGGCCCAGTGCACATCCAGCTGCTGACAGCCACCCCTGAGCTTTCCTTACAAAACACCCACCATCTGCAGGAAACCTTTTTGGTGGTTAAAGAAAATCAAATGGTTTGAAGGTTCCTCTATACGAGAATTAATCTTGTTCTGAAAATGACTCTCAACAAATTTCTGAATGTCAATCACTAAGAAAAGAGGCAGGGAATGATTTCATGAGAGTCCAAGTGAATTAAAATGCAGGGAGCTATACTAGGTACTGACTTTCAATTCTCAAATTCACCTTCTATAGCTATTTCTCCTCATAATTCTGTCCTAAACATACGGCCATGACCTGTTTCATTCAAAACACCACATCAGTGGGTATTTCAAGTTGACTTGTGTGCCAATTTATACACTCAATATTTTGCTAAAGCATCAAACATTACAGCAAATAACTCATGAGGGATGAAAGCAAGCAGCAATGTCACTTCAGAAACTGGAGAAAGGAAATGAGAATTACTGGAGTCAAGCTACTTCCTAAATAGCTGCACATATTACAGGATCATACCAGAGAACAAAATTTCAGGTGTCTTAACATTTTAAAAGAAATAGTTTGCTACATATTTAAAAGTCATGCATTTAAAAACTAAGTAACATCATTTGGCTGCAACAAGTTGTGCTGAGCCAGGTATCTATGAACATAAAATGTTACCATCAAAGAACCGTATTTCATGGATTCTTGTGTAATCTAGAGAAGACAACCAGTTAGTTGTGCATGCTTCTCTTCCCTAACCAATCTTAACCTACCCTGGAAGGGTTCAAAAAAGAAACACTGCAAAAACTCTCCTATGAAACAGTGAAGCCAGGCAGAAAACAGTGACTCACTGAACCAGAAAGATTACATTACTTGCAGAATAACAAAGTATACGTACTTGGGCCTGCTCTGCTTGCTTCTTCAGCTCCTCAGCCAGTGTTTCTAACTCATCATTCCTCTTCTGTGCCACTTTCAGTGCTTCTTCTGCATCCAGCAAGTTCTGCTTAAAACCTTTGATATCTGCATCGTGTTTAGTGATCATCTCCGAAGTTTCTTTTTCATACTTGGCCTGAAGGTCATTATACTGGTTCTGGCTGGTCTCAATTTGCTTTTTCTGATAGAAGATTAAAAAAAATAAACACAGGTAAAAAGGCAGCAGTGCAACATTCTCCACATGGCTACCTAGTGCTTTTTAATGTTCTTCTTACCATGTTTGTTAGTTGATCCTGCATATTTTTCAATTCTGCTTGATGAATCTGGAGAGTTTCTTGCTGACTCTGCTCAGCTTTCTGTGTTGTCTGCTCCACACTTTTCTGAAGCTGAACAGCCTTTTCATTTGCTTTTGTAAGCTCAAGTTGTATTTGCTCCAACTGCCTAGAAAGACCAAATAAAAGAACATTACTTTTGCTGACAGCACGACAGGGACAGAGCTGAAAGACTCTACATTCTGCTGAAGTTCTAAATTCTGTTGAAACATTTAGAAAGATATTTAATTATTTAACATATAGAGAATATTCTGCTAAATTACATATACACAAGTGAGACTGAGCACTCGCTCTTGTGAAGAGCAACAGAGCTGCCAGTTACCTTGCTCCCAGTCTGGGGTTTTGTAAATATAAACAACAACTATTCTACATACACTTTTTATTTGAAACAAACCACATTTTCTCTTGCTAGTCAAAAATATGACCCAAGTCTTCCATACATCAAAAGAAACCAAGCTCATCAGGTAATCAAATAACTAAGAAGCAGAATCACAAAACAGTCTAGATTATTAAAATGTTCATTTACTCCTGACAATGTGAAGCAAGTGACACAAAAATTTTAGAACTGTAAATGTCAGATGCTGTTCACGTCACTCTGAGGAGACTGTTCTGATTAATTTAACAGAGTAAGTTCACATGTCACATCAATGTGGCACTCAGGAGAATCTTGTTCAGATCCTTATGAAAAGATAAAAACAGAAGCTGGGAGGGCAGGACTAAAGAATGAAGGTGGCAATGCCATGGCAGTGGAGAATACCTCTCTTTTGCCCGCAGCTCATCATTCATTTTTGTCAGCTGGGCAGAGCTGTCTCCTGAAGACTTCATGATCTCTGCAATATCATTTTCCAGCTTGGTTTTAGCCTCCATCAGTTGCTGTTCCCTCTCTTCTCGCTCCTTCAGTTTCCCCTCCATCTCTGAGCAAGACAAAGGTTAGCAGTCTAGTCAATGTAAAAGCAAGGGTATGCACAGCCTAGCTAGAAGATGGTCAAGAACTATGACCAGAGCAACAGTGATGCTGCAGAGCTTGCAAACTGCACCTTCAAAATTAAAAATTACAGTTGTTTGACAGAAGGGTCAGAACTCTTCAGAAATAGTAAAAAAAGCAACTAGTAAAGGAATCTTTCTTTCAGAAGTGATTCATTTAACTTCAGGCCATGAGAGGCTGATACAAGAAGGGTATCAGAGGGTAATCAAGCACATCTTAGAGGTGAGACCATCAGCAGCTATTGAGCAGAGCAGCAGAAGATAACCAGTGCAAGCAACATGAAGCTATAGGGAAAAAATGTCTCAGTCCAGGGCAGGTGCTGCCAGCAAGGGCAGGAGCAGCCCTTGGGGTGACTTGTACAGCCCCAGCAATGCCTCGAGAGGCTGCCTTACAGGGTTGTCATTGTGCAGTTCTTTCTGCATTGGTTTTCAATTGAAAGGTGCAACTAGAGAGATACAGCAAGACGCCCTCCTCAGAGACAGGAAGAAGTAGACTGACATACAGGCCTTTTGATGTCCTTAAAAAGAAAACACTCCTCATTGACAAGGCTGCTGGGAACTAACTATCCTACCCTTGCACTGCTGCAGCCTAGTCCCCCAGCCCTCCTCAGCTACTGCCCATCACCACAGCTACAGAGCCTGTTTCAACATCAGACAAGAATTTAACTATTGGTTTGAGGCTCCACTCGACCAGGAAATCTTCCCCTTTGCTGCCCTGTTTCCCTAACATCATGGTCACCTTGTTGGGTCACTATGCGTGGTGCCACAAAAGCCATTTTCTGCCTAAAGGGCTTTCTCATGAAGACAGGTGCATCTGTGCCAGCACCGCAGGGAGCTGAGCAGGAGGCAAACCCAAGCACAAAGCTGATGCATTTTATCAAAGCTTCCCATTTTATTACTTCCTTACCAGTCAAGCTAGACTTCAGCTGCTCCAGTTCTGAAGACATGAGTGCAAACTGCTCTTCTTTTTGGTTTAGTTTTTTTATTGTTTCTATGCAAGTAAAATTTTGAAAACAAAGTTAGTCACTACTTAGATGGAGATCATTTCACCTACTTGTAAGAATATTACTCTTGAGAGAGGCTGCAAATAATCCTGTCCTTCCCATAGCTGCTGAAACTGCTGCCCTGCCAGGTGTAAATTTGAAAGCACATGGAAAACACCTCTTTATTTTGCAGCCTTTATTATCTGCAGCTTTGTTTAGCTCGGCAGAAGACATACCTTGCATAGTTTGTTGAACGTTTTCTGCTTCATCAGCTGCACTAGTAAACTTTTCTTTCTGAAAAAATGGATAAAACCCTTGGTGAGGTTGGCAGCAGCAGTGTAGTTCAACCACTGAATTTATATCAGGTGTTTTTAGAGGACAGAATAGAACAGTCTTCACTCCTATCACAAGCTGATCTGAATGTTTTGAATTATGTTTTACCATATTTAGCAACATAAAGCAAGAGTTTCCCTTGCCCTGGTTGCAAACAAGTCCCTACATTTTCACAGTTAACTTCTGTATCAGCCAGCACAGCAATGGAGCTGCAGCCTGAGCCCAGAGCAGGAGACAGGATTTCAGGGCTGCTCAACACAAGCAGCTCCCCATGCTGCTCACAGGACATCTGCCACCCTCTGCTCAATCCCATACCAGTGTCTTTGTTACAAACCCTGGTGTAGTGACTCAGGAAAATCCCACCCAGCTACAGAACACTTACAAATTTAATTAAATTTGCAAAATGAGAAATCAGATGCAACAGCCCCTCAAAGCCCCTTTGCAATACATGTGCACAGTGAGCATCAGTTCATGCAGCAGTTATAACAGAGGGCCCCAATGAGCAGTCTGAACCCAAACTCCATGCTGCTTTGGCTTTGGTTTAGTATTTTATCTGAAATCCATAACCTGAGGAGTTCTATTGAGGCAAACCATCCAGAAACAGTGAAGTCAGGTGAAATGCTCTTTTCATTCTGAAATGGATCCAATTAGTCATGAGCCCCCTGCCTTCTTCTCATGAGGAAAACACCTTTTCCAAGACTTTGCTCAGAGTTGATCCACAGATTTAAATGACACTCTCACCATGAAAATCAAAATCCAAAGGATAAAGTAAAAATTATTGGGTATTACTCACCAAAACTTGAAGTTCCTTTTCCAAAGAATCTTTAACTTGATTTACTGCACTCAAGTTTTTCTCAAGGTCAAGAAGCTTTTGCTCTTTGCCCTGCAGTTCTTGGGCCATATTACTAGCCTAACAAACATGATGAAATGGAGTAAAATAAAATTACAAGCATGAATGAAAAAGGAGGAAAATCAAACATGGAATCTGAAAGAAATAACCATACATTTAAAATCACTGTAAGATGAAAAATTAAAAAAAAAAAGAAAGACAAAACAAACTGAAGAAAAAAAAATGCTGTGTTAACTGAGAGAAGCTGATTTCCACTGATGATCACAGTGCTAATTGTATCTTGGAATGTATTTGAAAATATTATATCTCTTGGAATTAATGGTGAGAACATTCTTTAATGGCAGGCATTTTTGAGTTCATGTAAAATTTCCAATCAAAGCTACAGCATCAGTTGAAAGAGTAATTTTGTTTTGGGTTTTTTTTTTTTTACTTTTTTTCACTTCTAAATGTAGCATTTTTTTTCCAGCT